CATGCCTCAGGAAGACAGACATCCAATGGAAAATACTGCTCCACACTGGGAATCACTGGAAAGTTTGTTAAAGGAATACTGATGCTCAGACACCACACAGATTTAGGAGTGGGACCCAGGTGTTAGTAATTTTTAAACCTTCTGCATGCTACTGATGCATGGCCAGGATGGAGAACCCCTGCTGTCATAGATAGGAGCTGGGTCTACACTGATGGGTTTTAGCTAAGGTTACACAGAGTTGCCCAGGGAATTTTTTCAACATACAGAACCCTCTCCGTCCCTGGAGAAGCAGGTACAGTATGCCCGGGCTTGTGTATTTTTAAAAACTCCCAAGTGATTCTCCCGTACATTCCTTATTAGAAAACAGTGAACTGGAGCATGGGTAGGATTGAAAAGATGAAAAAGGAGTTGTAAGAACATTGGACGTGCTGGGTATGAGGTGAATAATCTATTCTGCAAGGTGCAGAGAGAAACACAGGAAGAAATTGCTGGTGATGGCTAAACTTTTAAAGATGGGTGATCCTGCTTCTTTTGCATCAAGACAGCTGGGTTGATGTCTGGTCAGTAGAACATTTCAGCAAGAGCAACCCCGACCCTGTGTGGAACTAGGGGCTGTTGTGAACCCAGGCGGCGCTGTATGAGGTACAAATTAATGAACAGGAGAAGATTAGTACAGAAAAAAAGTTAAAACATGGCATTCTGAGAATGTTTGATTGCAAGCACTGATCTCCCATGGTAATGATGGTGCTGACTTTCAGTGGTATATCGGGCAGGTACACAGAGACGCTAAGATGGTGAGAAAATCCCAAAACATCTCACAGAATGCTGAATCGGAGAAGTAGTTGATTAAAACCTGACCCATCACACCTGCAACRTGGATGTTGATGAATACTAATGAAGTGATGAATTGTCCCTGGCTCTAGTCACTTCAGTCTGAATGACATGCCCATTCAGAAAGGCCAGTTTGCTGTAAAGTTCATAGGATAGAACAATTTCTAACTA